GAAACCAGGAAATACATCAATGCTTAGACTAGGCACAGTCTCTTGTATTGTAGCAGGTGAAGTGAAGACTTGTTTACTGCAAGTACTGTCCTTGTAGTGCCAGTTGCTCCAACAGAAAGGTGACAACTCGGAATAATTTACCAGTTTATTTTCAGCACAGGAGAGGACAGAGGTGGCAAATATTGAGTTCCCTTCATGATCGGCAGTGTTTCCTTGGAATATAAATGAACTAGTATTACTGAATTGTATAGTACATTGAACACGGGTCATAGGGAGAGCATAGTTATCAAAATAGTTTGATGCATAAATAGCACCTCCTTTATCATTAGCAGTATTATTATAAAATATCAATTTTGATCCATCCATTACTATTAAACTGGCTTGGTTTAACAGTGCTATTGCACCACCAAGCTTACCTATGTTTTCTTTAAATATGACACTAGTACCAGGCAGGACTATTAGCTGTGCTCCTGACATTACTATTCCTGTGCCCATGCTTTCTTTAATCTCCAGAATAGGAGGTTCAACTCTGATGGACATTTTATTGCTGTAAACAATCCCTTGGCCTACAGTGACATTGCTTTTATTGGTGATAAAGCTACTAATTATTCTTCCCTCGATTACTGGCATAAGCAAGTATCCTGTTGATGGCCCTGGCAATACAGAAAAAAAGTAAGTGGAACCCACTTCAGCTCTATTATATTCAAGTTTAATGCCTCTAATGCTGAAGGAATTGGTATGAGCTATTTTTGTTGATTGCCGTACAGCCGAAACACTTATTGCACCTCCTGAAAATGCAACATTTTTTGAAATCATTCCCTTGTGAAAAGAAACATTGTTATAGCCAGTAATTAGACTGTGTGGGTCAAGCAAGTATTGTATGCTAAGTGTCCCTACACACTTTTGCTTGACTCTACTACCTGAGGTACTGTTGTAGCACTTGTGGCCATATATATTACTGGCAGTTACCAATACTGTATTGCGATTTGCAGTCCCGACAAAAGCTAGGTATAGACAGGATCCCTGCATTGCATGGTTACCATTCATGTAAGAGCTCCTTATATTCATACTGTTGTTAGCAGTGTGGTATACTGCTGCTATTGCACCTCCTTTTGTATAAGCTTCTCCTATTAATCTGTTGGAGGATAAGATACAATGATCCATGGTAATACTAGAGCTACCTCTAGTCTGCAATATGTATATGCTACCTCCACCAACTAGATCATGTCTGCGATTATTAATGTGTACTTGGGCCTTTGAGAAAATTACTTGACCCAGTAATATTTGACCTCTGCAGTTTAGCAGCTTCAATGCAGTACCTTTGGAAGAAGAGAAGATTGAATTTATAATGGTGATGTTTTCGACATGTTCAAATGCAAAGACTGCTGGCCAAACAACAGTGAGGAGATTGCTAGTGAGTTCAGACCCACAATTACCAAAGACCACTCTGATGATTGAGATGTTGCTTGAATTGAAGAAAGAGAGACCAGATTTTCCTGCTTCTGTGCACCTGATGATACTGGATTCAATCCTATCACTTAGAAGAAGAGAGAAATTAGTAATCCCATCAAATCTAAAGTCTCTATTGAGAACTTCTTTTGTGTTGTTTAGCAAAATGGTCACATTAAAAGTGTATGTTTTGTTCTCTACCAATTCCAGTGCCTCTGTTAAGTTTCTGACTGAAATGATTGACTCATTTCTCTTGCTGTTTTCACCTGCAACTAGGATTACTGTACAATGAACAGCAGTCACAATGAAAGAAAGGACAAAGAAAGATACAAAGAAGTTGCTCATATTCTCTTCTCCTCTATACTGACAATCAAAGTGACTATTGATATTCCTTCTCCTGTTTCCTTTCCATGTTGTTATGGACTGCAAAGTTTGTTTAATTATAAGAAACAACTAATATTATTGTATAATCAGGCTGCTCAAATCAAACACTGAAAGCACAAACTGTGAAGCTGTAATTTGTATTACTGAACAGAATCTTGATTATGTGTGAAGTATGCAAAGTGTGATAGCTCCGGTGTCTGCATTTGTTTCAAAATTATCACCTGGATTGTGATCAAAATAATTACTAAAATAAACAAAAAGGAATCGGAGATATAAGGTGAGACATGATTGGAGATACTAGAAGGATTACGTGTGTCTATTAGAGATTAAAGATGCACCTTGCATTCTTTATCCTTCTCACTGCTCTTTTCTTGTCTACTTATGGTACATTGATCAAAGTAGGAGAGACTCAAAGTAAAGAAGATCCAGCAGTCGTGATTGTCAATTCATTAGTTGGAGCATTGGAGCTGGTAGAGAATGGTACGTATGATTTCAATGTGTCAATTCTACTTTTGAGGGGTGAGGAAAATTTGGATAGAAGTTTCAGATTAAGAGGGATTAAAAGTTTCTCTCTTCAAACGAGTAACGATACTTGGATTCAATGTCTTCATGCTGGCATTTCTTTCTTTAACTCCAGCAATGTTGTCATCAGTAAAGTGTATTTTAGCAATTGTGGATCCAACTTCACCAATAGTCCTCTCTCTGTTACTTGGCCAGCAGTTTTTGCTTTTGAAGATGTAGAAACAGTTACTTTCACTAACACATTCTTCTTAAATTCTAAAGGTACTGCAATAAAGTTTTTAAATTGCAAAGGTGACATATTAATTAATGAAATATTATTCTCAATGGCCCAAGTACACATTAATAACAGTCGGCATGATCTAGTTGGTGGAGGTAGTGTATACATATTGCAGACTAGAAGTAGCTCTAGCATTACTATTAATAAGTGCTTGTTTACCTCCAATAGATTAATTGGAGGAGATCATACAAAAGGAGGTGCTATAGCAGTCGTATACAATCACTCAGCTAATAACAGTCTGGTTATTAAAGGTGTCTATATGAATGGTAACTACGCAATGCAAGGATCCTGTTTTTATCTGGTATTTTTTGGTACTGCTAATCACAATCAAGTATTGATCACAGAAGCTAATACAATGGAGAGTATGATTACTGGTCACAAATGCTACAGCAGTACTTTGGGTTATAATGTAAAGCATAAATGTATGGGAACTCTTAATATACAATATCTGCTTGATCCCTATAGTCCAATGGCTGGTTATAATGCTTTTTTAATGAATCAGACAATATTAACGCATAATGTAGCTTTTGCAGGAGGTGCCCTAAGTGCATTGGCAGTAAGGCAATCAACAAAAATAGCTCATACCAATTCATTAATCATAAATCACTTTACAAGCATGGTTTCTAATAGAGCTCAAGCTGGATCTACATTTTATTTTTCTGAGCTCCCTGGAGCCCCATTAGGTTACCTGCTAATGCCTATGATCCAGACTTACATTATAGGTAGCCAAATTACAAATTATAGCAATGTGACTATTGGACAAGGAACTGTTTACAGCAACAAAATGTCTCTTTTCTTAGGCTTTAATGAAAGTAATTTTCGTAACTGCATTGGAACAGCAATAGTAATGTCAGGAGCACAGCTAATAGTCCTGCCTGATATTGTAGTAAGGTTTTATTCAAACACAGGTAAGCTTGGTGGTGCAATAGCACTGTTAAACCAAGCCAGTTTAATAGCAATGGATGGATCAAAATTGATATTTTATAATAATGCTGCTAATGATAAAGGAGGTGCTATTTATGTATCAAACTATTTTGATAACTATGCTCTCCCAATGACTCATGCTCAATGTGCCATACAATTCAGTAATACTATTTCATTTATATTCCAAGGAAACACTGCCGATCATGAAGAGAACTCAATATTTGCCACCTCTGTCCTCTCCTGTGCTGAAAATAAACTGGTAAATTATTCCGAGTTGTCACCTTTCTGTTGGAGCAACTGGCACTACAAGGACAGTACTTGCAGTAAACAAGTCTTCACTTCACCTGCTACAATACAAGAGACTGTGC